TGTTTTAACTACTTTTCTTATGCAAAGACTTGTGTGTTTTATGTCAATTTAAATCGTAAATCTTTTTTTTTTGCACGTAATCACTTAGTTTTGTGTGATTTTGTGAATATAATGATTAAAAACTAGAGATGCCAATAAGATAATCAATAATTTAGCATTTTTGTATTTTAAAAACGCAGTTTATAACCTGTAGTTTACCTTTAGCACTGCTGAGGGTTAGAGAGGCTGAGATGTAGTGAACAAAGATGGATGGTTTATTGTTTCTGTTCTAATTAAAGCTAACTGAAGTCACTATTAACAACAACAACAAACTGTTCTGACTGTTTTCTACTGTAGTTTATTTGAAAAAAATACCCTTTTTTCTCTCACTTAGTAAACTGACGAGTATGTGACTTATTTGATGGATATTTCATCTTATATTGAAAGCATAACAATAACCGTACAGTGAACTGCAGGAAGTTTGTGTAAAATAAGGGATTTTTGATTAATTATTTCCTCTGAGCATCAGAGATGAGTTTTCCTGATATTACTAGAAACTTTTTATACAATTATTTTGTATTATGTATTTTTATAAAGGCTTAATAAGCTTATTTTTTTAACAAATTCAGTGTTTTCTCCCCCTGACTCTTGTTCTAATATTTCATTAACTCTTTGTTGTTTTAACTACGTACTTTTCTAATGCAAGACGGGGCAAGTTTCCATCTTGCAGTATAATCTAAACTTTAAAAATACACAGCTTAAAACCAAAAAGGCCTTGTGACCCCCCCAGGTTGAGAACCACTGTACTATCAGCACTGGCATTTAAAAAAAGGATGTATGAATAGTCGGCATTGACCAGACCGGCATCTCTTCATTAGCTCCTTTTTATAAAACCCAAACTTTGAGGTATAAATGTTAACTACGACTCCCAAGGTGCATTGCAAGAATCATTCAATCACCGAGCTTAAATCAGTCCAATATTAAATTCCGGGTCTGTTTTCAGGTCCGTGTTTTGTTCTCAACTGTAACAACGAATTTTATTGAATTTGCCAACCACTGTGAGTCGCAGCCTTTCAAAAGAGACATTTTTTACCTGTCTGGAGCATAATTAAGCCCTTTAATGCTAATTTATTGCCACAGGTTAAGTATAAGCTTGTCGTATTGGTGGTGAAAGCAAACAGACGTGCTATTAAAATCTCTATTTTCCTCTGAAACGTTTTCTTTTTGGGATTTGTAGTCCGTAGCTTGATTAGCCCAGAAGACTAGGAGCCACCGCTATCGATGTCCGGCTGTAACGTGTGACACAGTTTTATTCGGTGTGTAATAGCTATATATTTATACAGTTAGAGGGTCTAAGAGTCGCATTAAAATGTTTAAAAATAGCCTTTTTTTGACCACTGGAGATCGTCTTAGCCTGTAATGCTGAGAAAATGTTTAAAAAGGCGCAGAGAGGTCACTCAGTTTATGTGAGTGCCGGCCGAGCTGGAGGGTAAAGTGATCAAAGCAGCATAGTGCTCCTCCTGGCTCGCAACCGTCGTGTATCGGGTTTCGCCAGCCTGCTGCTCGGAGCCGTCGCTGTTGGGCTTCTGCAGATAACACCACGTCTGCGGACGTTAAAAGCTAAATGATTGACACATTACGCTTACCTCCGGGCCAGCACGGGAGAGGTGTGACAGCTTTATTTTTGCATTTTCATGGTGTAATACATGTTTTATATCATCAAATGACACAGAATATATTATAGGACTCATTTAGGTGTTTATATTCCTGCAGTTCCTCCTTCGAGAGCCTCGTTATTAGATTGAAGAGCCCCCATGTTGTGTCTGTTTTGTGTTAATCCCCAGGGAAACAGCTTGCTGTGCTGATTAGAAGTTCCTTCAAAAAGCACGAGTGTCAAATTGCTTTCATTGGCATTTCATCCCTGGATTGTATATTTGTTTTTTCTCACACCGCACCCCCCCCCAGCCTGAATCACCTTGAAGATGTGAAATGTAAAGAGACACCACGGAGGATCTCGCCCCGCCCTCGGGCTCACCGTCCTGGCTCGGGTCCCGCAGTAGGTGTCCGTAGGTGGTGGAGGAGTTTTGTACTCGGGCAGCGTCCCAGGCGCTCCATTAATAAAATACTGAGGCCGACAGAAACCTTTCAGGAGTGGGCACTGAGGTCGAAACTCTTTGTTTAATGGAAGGAGGATGTGCTTATTTTCAATTTAGAAAATCAATGCGTGTACCTCCCCGAAATGTTAATTATTATAATGCAAATTACAAAAACATATTTTCAGTTTTAGCTGTAGTGTTATTGAGCCGTGTAGATAGTTTTGGGTTAATTTATGTATCTAAAATATATAGTGAATGGGTTTTTCTTAAACATTTCTTATTTCTTTAACCGATATTCACTTACTTCCTTCCTTAAACTAAAATTTGTCCTGGTTGACTAACAGTCTTTAGATAAAGCCAATAGTGGACTAGTCAATCAGTTAAGTTATTTAAATGCATATATTTTAACAGCCGCCTGTTAAATGCTAGCCAGAAAAAGCCAATAAGTATGATTCAGAATACGACAGACCAACAGGAATGAACAATTATTTATATTCAACACGTTTGTACCACATCCACACAAGTCTCGTTGGTCAAAACACAGAATAAATAACTTCTACTAATAAAGGCAGATTGATCAATATGATGGATAACGTTAACAGTTACGTACAAATTAACTCTCTACGAACTCTTCCTCCGTGTCATTCTTCATCCCCAGAGTCGGAGTCCTGGTCGGAGCCGCTGTAGTTCAGTTTGCCTCCGTTGCTCCGGTTCTGTTGCTCCGGTTCTGTTGCTCCGGTTCTGTTGCTCCGGTTCTGTTGCCTTTTACTGAGAGTAACGATAGTTAGCAGCAGTTTGAGATACTATTTGAAAAGTGTCCTGAGAGAACTTCTGTTATGAATTGGCGCTATACAAATACAATCGAATTGAATTAAGCAAGCCCGTCCACTAAAACTCTTCTCAGCAAATAACGGTGTGTCCGACTATGAGGGGGGGCGGCCCTATAATCCACGCAAAAGAGAAAAATTCAACGCCATGAGGTCGAACAAGTGTTTGAGTGATTAAGTACTTTAAATCCTGCATTGTTTACATCCATGTTTACTAGCCTTCAGGTGTCTTCTTCACTGTCTTGCGTTGTTGCATATTTTAGCACATTACCACCTTTAGATCGGTAGAATAGCGTGAAACCGTTGGCAGGAGTATGTGCTTTTTAAATGTAGTTATTAAAGACTTTTTAACCAATATGTTTACTGAGAGTAGATGGTGGTTGGACTACTGAGCAGACCTTGGATGAAGCTACCCATCAACTGCAACCAGCCAGTTAATTTCAACCTAAACAGACACAATGGAGATTTAAAGCCACCCGCCGAGCGTCTGCTGTCTGCTTGGGCTGGATTCAAAGGTAGTTTAAAGGTACATTAGGTCAGGGGTAAAGAATGGTGTCATCTGTCAATGGGCTCAGCAAATTTATGACGGCACAGCCTGATCCCTACAGGGGCCTGATGATAGGTCAACACGTCATTTAACACTAGTACTGGGCTGCCATAGGAATGCTCACCCGACGTCTGACACATTTCCACCGTGTGTATTGATAAATGTACTGTACTGGGGTTAAAAATAAACGTCAGTCCGCTCTGGCACAGGTCTTCATAGGTACGATGTTTTGGTGTTAACGAACCTGACTGGCATAGATTAATTTCATATAATGACAGAAGGACAGTCACCCTCCAGAAGTGACCAATTATATATATTTATATAGAGAGAGAGAAACAGAGAAAGCATTTATTTTGTGCAGTTTCTTGTTACATATTGATTAAAAATGGCTAATTATAACAGACATATCTAGGCTCTAAATGAAAGGACTTACCCCCAAATTCTCCCGGGGACGACCACGATGCGTTCTAGCTCCGCCGTGGTTGCTGGAAATGTTCTAAATTCCTCCAAAAGCACCACATCGAGTCCCAGAAACGACATAGAGAATCCAGTCAGTTTTCAAAATAAAATACCACATGCAGTCTCAAATTTTACGCTACATCATCATTGTGGCACCAGGCCAGAAATCAGTCACTCAGAGGCAGGTTAGAGGAGGTTCAAACAGGAGAAATACACAAGTAAACACCGTTGGACAGGCAACACGCTCTGAAGACGCTCTGCTTCTGAAACCCTCACGCTGGCATTTGAAATGGCTGCAGAATCAAATCAATTTGGAAGTGCATTGTTATGTATGCTAATAAATCAATGTGTATTGGACTTCTGCTGGCCCGTTTCCTGTAGAGAACCGTGGAAAAAGTACGACTACATTGTTTTTTTCTGGTCCTGTCATAGGATTTGTTGACAGTCAATAATGGACTGAAAGCCGCAGGAAGTCCATTGCTGTGAGACCCTTTATTGCAATGACAATACAAACCATCACCCAGCCCCTCCGCCACCACATGCTGATAGTTGTATTGACGAGGCGGGTCCCTTTTCTGTCGCATTCAAATCTATCACTTGCACTCTGCGGACCTCCCATCATCACTGGAAATAAGCTGTCACTGGAAATCAGCATGATCCTTTTTCACGACGCTCTTTTCAGTCCTCCTCCGCGCTCTCCCACCACCCCTCTAAAGATGGCTGCGCGACATATGGCGGCAGTAATTAGACATGTCATCATAATCTTTTTCATATTGTCTGTGTTCACACAGCTGCCGAGGCATGTAATATAATGACTCAATAGCTTGTGTTACAGTCAGAGACAGAGCCATCAGCGGGACAGGAACATGGACAAAGTGACCTTGACAGACATTTAATGGCATTTGGATTTTGACGGCTCAGCAATTTG